CGGCTAATTTTGTATTTTTAGTAGAGACAGGGTTTCTCCATGTCGGTCAGGCTGGTCTCAAACTCCTGACCTCAGGTGATCCGCCCGCCTCAGCCTCCCAAAGTGCTGGGATTACAGGCGTGAGCCACCGCGCCCGGCCATTCCTGGTGTCTTCCTTACGTCCCCTTTCCTATCCTGAAGCCACTCCCTGCCCTAGTGAGGGTCTCCAAAATATTAATAATTCACAGCCGCATACACTTCCCAGCTCCCAGCACCTCCAGGGAAGACAGTGGTCTTCCTTGCTATTCCACGTGGGAGCTGGGCGGGATGCCAGACATTACCCTCAGACTGCAGAGGAAGCAACCGAGGTTCAGAGAGACCGGCCAGCTGGAAAGCAGGAGAGGCTTGGTGGGCTGGCCCCAGCGCTCTTCCCAGCCTGGCACTGTGCGCCCCAGCACACCTACACCTGTGTCTGAATGGATCCCACAGAAAGGACACAAGGCTCCGCCTGGCTTTGTAACCCAGGCACCTCCCCACTCTCTCTCCAGCTCCAGCCCAGTCCAGCTGGATTCCAGCCAGGGGCCCCTGGTGAAATCCGGTGAAACCTTAGGAATTCACCCAGGAGGCAAAGCCTGTGGCCTCAGAGAGAGGGAACCAGAAGGCCAGAGAGGGAACCAGAGAGGGAACCAGAAGGGTTGTGGCTTCCCTGCAACCCCCAGGCCTTTCTCATCAGCCCCTCCCCAGGCCACTCACCTGCCATGTGGAGCACAGCCATAAGGATGGAGGGGATCCAAGAGGTCTGGCTGTTGCTGGCCTGGAACTCCCATTGCAGATCAGTGAAGAAGATGCCGATACACGTGGGGAAGCCCAGGGTGAGGCCCTGGGTCACCATGGTGGCCAGCAGCACCACCCAGGCCCAGCTGCCATCTGCACGCTCCAGGGCCTGGGGCATCCTCTGCTGCTGACACTGCCACAGCCTCACTGCCACTGTGGCTGCTGCCTGGAGAGGCGACAGAATGGAGCCTGGTGTTCAGTAGGCTGCCCGTCTTTCCTGGCCCACCTGCCACCTTCTCTCGGCAGCTAAGCAGTCCCTTCCTCACACTCAAGTACCAGGTGTCACAGAGGGGCACCGCCCCTGGGAGGTGGCCAGAGGCCCACGCATTGGCCTTAGCATCTCCTTTCACCCACTTCCCAGAGCCAGCCTGGCAGGAGGTGGCAGGAAGGACAGGAAGGACAGGACGGGGCAGGGCAGGTGGCACCAGGCAATGGGGTGCAATTGTTTCTAATTGTTACATCACTTAGAAGTCAGCAGGGGGACCTCCTGGCCCACTCAGTCACTGCTTGTAGAATGCAGCAGACCTGTGGGGTCAGTGTGGTTCCAACGCCCCCAAATGCACACACGGATACATTTCAGACACTCCTGCCCAGAGTTCCTGCATAAGAACACAGACTTTCACCATGCCTCAGAGGCAGCAAAGTTACTATTGGTGCTGTTGTGAAGGCCCGAGTGAGCAGGCCGGTGCTGGGCGCAGCCACGGAGCATACACAAAAGAGTTGAACAAGGACCCAACCAGCAGCTTTAGAGAAGGCATGGGCCTCATCAACCCACACACCCCCACGCCTTTCCCATCAGCCCCTTTGCAATCCCCCTGCAATACTCCTTTCATACAGAGCTCAAGGCCAAGACTCAAGTTACTCAATCACATGGAATAATACACACACACACACACACACACACACCCCAGTGGCACTCAGATACAGACACATACCCAGTCACACACGGACACAGTCACAGCACACACTCACGCAGACAGCACAGAAACATACAGACACACACACACACACACACACACTCAGTTACACACACAGAGATCCACCGACCCACACAAAGACCACACAGGCACACAAACTCATATAAAGACACACACTTGGCTGGGCGCGGTGGCTCACACCTATAATCCCGGCACTCTGGGAGGCCGAGACAGGCGGATCATGAGGTTAGAAGATCGAGACTATCCTGGCCAACATGGTGAAACCCCATCTCTATTAAAAATACAAAAATCCCAGCTACTTGGGAGGCTGAGGCAGGAGAATCGCTTGAACCCAGGAGACGGAGGTTGCAGTGAGCCGAGATTGCCCAGTGACATAGCAAGACTCCATCTCAAGAAAAAGAAAAAGACACACACTTACATAGACACTCAAAAAAGTGCAGAGACATGAAGAGACGCTGACAGATACATACTACACAGATCCGTAGACAGTCACACCAACACACAGAGATCTATACCGTCACACACAGCTCAAGCATACAAACTCACACACAGAGGCATACAAGCAGGTACGTAAGCCACACTAGCAGACACGCACACAGTTACACACACGGACAGACACATGCACACGTACATGCATGCAGACATGCCCAGAGTCACACATGCTACACAGACATACAGACACACACAGTCACACACTATGCAGACATGCACATGTGCCTGTGCGCGCACACACACACCCACCTCACGTCCTTGGCTCAGCAAGGTGCAGCCAGTCCTATTTTAGTTTAACACAACCCAGGCCACTCCCCTCATCACAGAAGCTGCCATAACCAGGCCTCCAAAGTCCCAAGGTCCCCTCCCCAAGTTTGGACCCCTTTTTCAACCCCCTCCCATCCTGCCTCCTGCTCCCTGCCCCCCCAGACCCCTCAGACCTCACCGCCTGGGGGTCTAGGCTGCAGCAGGCACTGCAAGGGAGCAGCCTCCACCTCAGTGAAGCCCACGCATCCTGGGGTTGCTGTTCCCACAGCCTCCCTCCCTTTCACCCCAGGTCCTGGGAAGCTCCGAGGAAACTCAGAAAACTACCAGAAATATGAAACCCCCTTTTCCTGCCAAGCCCAGCACCCCACTGCTTCCCTCCAGGCCTAGGAGTTTTAAAGCAGTACCTAAGCCGGCTCCACCCTAAACTGCCTCCTTCCAGGTCTCCAATCCTCCACCCTCCCAGAGGACCCTGGGAGTCCCATCAAGGTGACCCGTCCCATTCATCGCAGTCCCAGGGTGTGAGGGTGTGTGACCCACATGCAGGGCAGAGCACTGCCTGCCCTCCTGCCCTCTGCATAGGACCTCAGGCTAGAGATCTTCCCAGCCCGGCCCTCCTCCTGGCCCAGTCCCAGGCCAGGCAATATAGCAGATAAGGCTTCTCTAGCAAACTAGCCCTCGCCTCTTCCAGGATTTCTGTTCCCTCAGCAAACGAAAAGGCCACAGGCGCCACCTGATCCTCTGTGTTGCCCCAGTGTCAAGGTTCCAGCCCTGCTCCATAACTCGCCCTTCCTCCCCAGCTCTTCCACTCTCCCACTTGACACTCTGACCTCTTCCTCCCGCAAAGGCCACAGCCTTCCTGGCTTCCTCCTGCCTTTCCCTGTTCCCTGCCACCCAGCCCTGGCACTCCCAGGCCCGGAGGCCCTGGCGGCATTTGGGAGGCCTGGAGGCTGGACCCCAGCCCCGCTCCCTCTCCCCACTGCCTGGCTCTGTCCCTTCTTGCTCTGCCGGGAAGAAGTCTATGGAGAAGTCTCTTTCTATGAGAAGAGCTCTTCTCAGCATCCACTTTTTGGGGCAATGTTTTTGGGGACTTTGCCCAGGCTCCTGTGACCTTCACTCTGGATCCCACCTTCCCTCTGGAACCTTTCAGTGGAGCTGGCTGTTCCTGACCATTTCCTCTCTCCAGGTCCCAGGCCAATCCGAGCCCAGGAATCCTCATGTACCTTTGCATGCTAGAAGCCCTGCTGCCAGGACGGGCGCGGTGGTTCACGCCTGTAATCCCAGCACTTTGGGTGACTAAGGCAGTGGATCACGAGGTCAGGAGTTTGACCAGCCTGGCCGACATAGTGAAACTCGTCTCTACTGAAAATACAATAATTAGCCGGGCATGGTGGGGCTCGCCTGTAGTCGCAGCTACTCAGGAGGTTGAGGCAGGAGAATCGCTTGAACCCAGGAGGTGGAGGTTGTGGTGAGCCGAGATCATGTCACTGCACTCCAGCCTGGGCAACAGAGTGAGACTCCGTCTCCAAAAAAAAAAAAGCCCTGCCACCGAGGTCTGAGGATCCCCTTCCCCCGCCTCTCTCTGGGACCCCCGCTGCAGACTTCCATGTCTCCTCTCCCACTCCCAGCAAGTCCCAGGTCACATACACGGTGTGGATGCCCAGTCGGCTGTCCAGCTTCCCCTCCCATCAAGCGGTTTCTCCAGTCAACTGATCTTTCAGAATTCAGCCCTGCCGGGCGCGGTGGCTCACACCTGTAATCCCAGCATTTTGGGAGGCTGAGGCAGGCAGATCACCTGAGGTCAGGAGTTTGAGACCAGCCTGGCCAACATGGTGAAACCCTGTCTCTACTAAAAATAAAAAATTAGGCTGAGGCAGGAGAATCGCTTGAACCCGGGAGGCGGAGTTTGCAGTGAGCCGAGATCACGTCACTGCACTCCAGCCTGGGTGACGACAGTGAGACTCTATTTAAAAAAAAAAAAAAAAAAAAAAAAAAAATTTAGCCCTTAGGCTGCTCCAAAGGTTGTGAGTTATTTCAGTTAATTGTTCACAGGCAGGTACAGATCAAACTCCTTGTTCTACTCTTTCCCTGCTTCTCACTACAGCTCCTAAGTAGTCTTAGAAGATTCAGCCCAGCTGGGTGTGGTGGCTCACGCCTGTAATCCTAGCACTTTGGGAGGCCGTGGCTGGCGGATCACGAGGTCAGGAGATCAAGACCATCCTGGCTAACACGGTGAAACCCCATCTCCACTAAAAAATATACAAAAATTAGCCGGGCGTGGTGGCGGGCACCTGTAGTCCCAGCTACTTCGGAGGCTAAGGCAGGAGAATGGCATGAACCCATGAGGTGGAGCTTGATTCCATCTCAAAAAAAATAAAAAGAAAAAGAAGATTCAGCTGTAGCAGCATCCCTGAGAGCTACCCTGACTCCCACCCCAGGCTGGGCTGCACCTCCTTCCTGTTTTCTGCCTTTTTTTTTTCCCAAGATGGAGTCTTGCTCTGTCTCCCAGGCTGGAGTGCAGTGGTGCAATCTCAGCTCACTGCAATCTCTGCCTCCCAGGTTCAAGCAATTCTCCTGCCTCAGCGTCCAAAGTAGCTGGGATTACAGGCGTATGCCACTATGTCCGGCTAATTTTTGTATTTTTAGTAGAGATGGGGTTTCACCATGTCAGCCAGGTGGTCTTGAACTCCTGACCTTAAGTGATCCGCCTGCCTCAGCCTCCCAAAGTGCTGGGATTACAGGCGTGAGACACCGTGCCCGGCCTGTTTTCTCACCTTAATAGTGGTCTTCACACCACACGGGAGTGGATCACCCCCTTGTCTATCGTTACCTCCACCCTGCTACCCTCTTCCACACTATGAGCAAGAACCTGTTCATGAACCCGCACCCAGCCTTCGGCTGAGCACAAAAGAGGAGATGAACGTGACCCACCTGTGTTCCCCAGGGGGCAGGCAGGCCCAGGACCAAAGGCCATGCAGCTTCCAGGAAGGGAGGTCCATTCCAGACTCAAGCAGGGCAGAGAGGTGATGGGGCGAGGGCTCTGGCTTGGCCTCTGCCCCAGCAGGGAAGTGGTCTTTTCTTTGTACTGGGAACCATGAGTCATGGTCACTGCCTGGTGTGTGCTTTGGGCAACGAGGTAGACAGGGCAAGTTGCTTTGCTCTCACTTGCTGGGACTAGGGGTGAGGTTGGGCCCCAGGGGCTGCCTCAAGGACCCCTAGGCCCAATGAGACCGGCTTCATAGCCCAGTGCCATGAAGTTGGATGTGTGGGCAGAGAGAAGTTTAGGTGATATTTCTGGTCTTTCTCCCATCTCACGCAAGACCAGCCTATGTTTTCAGGGTGCCTCATCTGATAACAGGGGCCTCACTAGGCCCTGGGAATCCCTTCCCTGCCCCTGGACCTCGAAGGCCTGGTCACAGGGGAGAGCGGATGCTCTCATCCAGGGGTCTCGGGTTAGGGGCCTGGTGTCCAGAGTCCAGGGGGCTTCCTCTTCCTCTTCCCGGTGGGAGAGTCCGGGGCTGGAAATGAGGAAGGCCCTGGGGACCCCTTCCTCACTCCCATATCAAGCAGGCTTCTGGGCTGGTGCCCAGGACCCAGGCGGGCAGCAGAAGGGCTGCTGCCCAGCAGAGAGCAGCAAGGGCAGGCTTGAGCTTGGGGCTGAGGAACTCTCAACTCTGTGGCTGGCCCAAGGAGGAGGGAGGCAGCCCCAGAGGTAGGGTGGCTGGGGCAAGTCACTCCCTCCCTTCCCCTTGTTCCCCCACATTCCCTGCAGACCAGCACGGGTTTGGGACAGGCAACTGGGACCTCAGGCTGTACTCTCGCCCTGCCCATCCCCGCAGTCCTGCCCCGGAATCTGGTTTCCATTCCGCTCTCCCTCCCTCCCCGGGACAGAGCCCCTCCGAGTGGGGCTGCTAGGATCCCGGGCTGTGTCCGCCTTGGAATTTCGGGCCAGGAGTCCGAGCGCGCTCGGGTTTGGGGGTCATCACCCCAAGCCCCGGGGCAGTCCAGGACCAGGACAAGAAAACTTTTCTAGATCCTCACCGCTACTGAGCCCGCCCAAGAGGGAAGGGACGGGGGCCCCGGCAGGAGGTCTGCGACAGCACTAGCGGGGACTGGGCGAGGAGGGGACGCGTCCGAGGCAGTGGGGCT